GTGGGCGCGGGGCATCATCACCGGCTTGGTGGGGGTCAGCAGCACCAACGGCATCGGCATCATCGCCATCGGGTGGTGAGGCGGCGGCGCCGGGTACATCATCGGCGCCATCACCATCGCCGGCGGCGGCGGCGGCACCATCATCACCGCGGGGGTCGGCGGCAATTCAGTAACTTCGCGCTCTTGGTTCAGGTGCTTGCGCAACAGCTGGCGCTTGTTCTGGAACCAGATCTGCACCGCCTTCTCCGTCATCAGCACCTTCGCGGCGATCTCCTGGCGGCGCTGCTTGTTCGGGGTCAGCCCCAACTCAAACTCTTTGTTTAAAATCAGCAACTCGTTGGGCAGGGTGCGCCGGCGCTTGCGCCGGGCGAGGGGGGCGTTGTCGATGCTGGGCTCCTGCGTGGGGTAGGTGGCGGGGGAGTGGGAGATGAATGCCCACGCCTTGTCCAGGGGCGGCGGCAGGCGCTTCAGCTGGGTAGGCGGCAGCGCCTTGGCGGAAGTGGGCGTGCTGGTGGCGTTGCTGGAAAGGCCACTGTCGGTGGCGCTAGTGCTGACACTGGAGGCAGTGCTGGCGATGCTGGAAGTGCTAGTCGACGGCGCCGGCGCCATGGCGACCGCAGCGCCAGCGTCGCGCGGCGCTCTAAGCTGGTAGCTGGCAAACTGGTCGATGGGGGGAAGCTTGGGGGTCGCCAGCAGGTGGATGAGCAGCGAGAGCGGCGGCAACAGCGGCGCCGGGGCACAGGGGGTTGTCGGTGGCAACAGCGGTCTCTTCGGTGTGTGGACAAACATGGCTTGGGGTACCAGGCGCCTCTGGCTCGGGAGCATGAAATATATATGACTTTTGCAGATCGCCCGACGCACCTAATTACCGTGGTGACGGGCGCCCAATACGGGTGTACAGGGCCCTGCGGTGGCGGGCGACCGTGTTTGTTTGTATTTACTGAGCAGCGGGGCGCGCGACGCGCGAGAATGTTTTGCAGGGGGGAGGGACCAGGGGGAGAGGTGTAGTCAGTGGTAGCGCCTATAGCGCTATATGCTAGTGGGGTAGCCATGCTGGCGGTGGTATCAATCAATTTGGATCACTGTCAGATCACCTATAGCGGTAGGTGTCGTGTGGTAACTAGGTACCTCCCTGCTAAGGTATCCCTTAGGTGACGCGCCTTATTTGGCGTGTTGCAGTGCGCAGCCCTGGCGCTGTGATTAATCGACGCACCCGCGACACAACAGGAAGAGTACGCCCTGTGCCGCCCGACGCGCGCAGCAAATATACGCTTTTACTATGGACCCCCAGCGCTCGATGACGCTGGCCAGGAACCAGCCCTACCGTTATGCCCCCCACTACTCGCGATTCGGCCTTACGTGATCTCGGTGCCCGCGCTAATAACCTGTTTACCAACATCAGGCGACTCCGTCCTTATTCTTACATCAATAGTCCTTTAAAATGGCTGTCGCCCCGTAAACCGTTGGAGCTGCCCCTGGACCCTGAGTGGTACCACCCGACTGTCGTCCATTATCCATTCCTGGACATATAGGGTGCGGGCTGGTGAATATGTCGAAGACGCAGCCCGCACCCACTAAACGTGCAATTTGTTTCCGGGTGCAGGGCGATTGTGCAGGCGATTGTGTGCGACCGCGGGGTCGGGTACCTCCCTCGAAAATCCACGCGACCGCGTTGGCATTTGGGAGAAAAAGCGTGCGACCGTGCCAGCGTGCCAGCGTGAATAGCGTGCGAGCGTGAAAGCGTGTTTTCCTGCTTTGCGACACGCTTCGGGTGCAGAATTGTGGTCAATGTGGCGTTTGTCGCTTTCAGCTATCCAAAGTGAGACACCTGGATGGGTGCATCGAGGCTTTGGTTAGCCACTAACAGACCACAGGTGGTGGGGTGCTGTTCCGCCGCTTCCTATTGGTGTGACCCCCACAAAAGTTGGCACCCAACCGCTCGTATCGTGATGCCATTAATCAGACACTTTTCCAGAATAAGGTTAGTAACTAAAGCACTCAATTAGTGCCAGAAAAGAATCCAATTATCAGACTTTTATGACGAATTGTATCTATTTCTCTGCTGCTTTGCTTCACTATGGGTTTTCTCATCTAGTTAACCTAGTAATTAAACTCGGTGCGCACATCACGTGACTCTCCGCAAACCAAGGACTCCGACCAAGGCTGACCGTCTTCTCTACCTCTCATACACTACCACCACCCCATTACCACCATTCGCTGCTGTGCTACTTGCCAATGCTGACTTTAACTCGCTTGGGAGCCCTCTTGGGGGCCCTAGCATTGGCGCTCGTGCTCTACCAACGGCACTGGCACCACCCAGTGCCGCCATGGGACCTCCATCAGCTTCCCGCTAACCCCGAAGCTGAGAACGACTTGAAACGCCTTGGCCTCACGCCGAAGCCACTGGTGAAAATCATCGACGACCAGGGCAACCAACGTGTTATCCATGGCCGCTTTCTCCACATCACCGATTTCCATCCCGATATCTACTATAAGGAAGGCCTGCTGATTCTGAACATGTGCCACAGCGGCAAAGGCAGTGATGGCGACAGGGCGCTGAAGTACGGCGACGCTGTGGTTGGCTGCGACGCCCCGTTAGCATTATTTAACGAAACCGTCCAGTACATCAAGGAAAACTTTAAGGATAAAATCGATTTCATCGTGTGGACGGGGGATAACATCCGCCACGATAACGACCGTGATTTCCCTCGTTCCGAGGCCGCCATCTTCCAGCTGAACGAAATGGTGTCCAACGTCCTCTTCGACGCTTTCAAGCTGGATAAGCTGTCGCTGCGAGCGCTCGACGTCGATTTGGTGCCCAGTTTGGGTAACAACGACGTCTACCCGCACAACTTGTTTGCCACTGGTCCCACGCTTCAAATCAGAGAGCTCTACCGGGTGTGGAAGGACTATATCCCCCACGTGCAATTGCACACGTTCGCTCAGGGGGCATACTTCTTCAAGGAGATTATCCCCAACCAGTTGGCAGTGCTCTCCATCAATACCTTATACTTGTTTGACCTGAACCCGCTTACTGACGACTGTGACAGCCCCAAAGACCCTGGCTATAAGGTGTTTGAGTGGCTTGGCTACGTGTTGAAGGAGATGCGGGCACGCAAGATGAAGGTGTGGTTATCGGGCCACGTCCCTCCCAATGAGAAGAACTACGACGTCACCTGTTTGAGAAAGTACGTGGTGTGGACTCACGAGTACCGTGACGTCATCATCGGCGGGCTTTATGGCCACATGAATATGGACCACTTTTATCCGTATGACTCCGTTAAGGCCTACAAGCTGATTGACGAGGATTTTGGTAAGCGTGACATTGCCAGCTTTGTCATTGACGATGCCTCTGACTCCGACTCCGACTCTGACGATGAATTTGACATTTTCGATGTCCACAATGATACCGAGCCTTACGGTGCCACCAACTACTGGAAGGTGTTCAACGAAGAGTACGACAACGAGTGGTTCCGTATTAAAGGAGGTGTGCCTTACAATAAGGTCAACTATATGGAGCTGGTCCGTGAAGACGTTTATGCCGATGTTAAGAAAAAGAAGAAGTCGGGTAAGCATGGCGAGCGGTACCTGGTGGCGCAAGTGGGCACGCTGATTGTGCCGACATTCAACCCTGGCTTCAGAGTCTACGAGTATAACATCCTGACGTTGCATGAGCAGGATGTGAAATTTGTCAGCTGGGACGAGTTCTTCGCTGGTGTCAATAAAGAAGTGTTTGGCCAAGATCAGGTCGTCGATTTCGGTAAAAAGAAGAAGAAGATTGACAGAGATGACAAGACGTTCCCTCCGAAAATGCCGAAGAAGGCTCAGTTGGGTCCTGCTTATACTCCTCAGTTGTTCACTCCCGAGCGCTATGTCCAATACTACCTTGACTTGGCTAGCGTCAACAACGGTAAGAAGAAGTTCGCCTACGAAATCGAGTATGCCTCGGAAGACGTCGGCTTAAAGACGTTGTTAGTTGACGAGTGGCTCAAATACGCTCGTAAACTCGGTGCTCCTGTCAATGCTGATGATGCTGACACTGATACTGTGGATACTAAAGGCAAGAAAAAGAAGGGTAAGAAAAAGAAGAAGGGGAAGAAGAAGAAGGGTAAGTTTGACGAAGAGAAGAAGATGTGGGAGGACTACCTCAAACACTCGTTTGCGCTGTGTGATTACGAAAACATGGGCTACGGTTAGACCCGTGGATATGACTTATGAAGACATCCTCAAATAAACAATTACTCGTATTAATGAAATTCATCATCCTTATCTTCTCTTCAGAAACATCACTGCTGCAATTTTCACTGCTGTTAGCGTATACTGTCAGGGGCCTGCGCACTAGCATTAAATCAAAAAGACAATTTAAGATGCTACAACACAATAACCGATCAACGAATGAATGAATGGGGGGGTTTGTGGGACTACGAAAACACCAATACTATATTTTTCAAATAGCTTTAATCTGGTACACCAGTTTAATGTGTGTTAACCTGTAATTGTAGTCACGTGCCTTAGGGTTACCGGCCCTCGCGGTCTAGCGAACGAAAAATCTTTTTCGCGCTGCCCGCCTGGTCTTCACCAACTGGTTTCCATTAAAAAGCCTCTTGTCAACAAGTCAAAATGGGTGGTACTAGAGAAAAGAAGGTTCAATACTTCGCCAAGCTCAGAGAATTGCTTGAATCGCACAAGTCGATCTTCGTCGTCGGTGTCGACAATGTCTCGTCGCAACAAATGCACGAAGTGAGAAAGTCTCTCAGAGGCCAAGCCACCGTGTTGATGGGTAAGAACACCATGGTGAGAAGAGCCTTGAGAGAATTCGTCGCCGACATGCCCGAATTCGAAAAGTTGATGCCCTTCATCAGAGGTAACGTCGGTTTCGTCTTCACCAACGGTGACCTTTCCACCATCAGAGACGCCATCACCTCGAACGTCGTTGCCGCTCCCGCCAGAGCTGGTGCCGTCGCCCCCAAGGACGTGTGGGTGCCTGCCGGTAACACTGGTATGGAACCCGGTAAGACCTCGTTCTTCCAAGCTTTGGGTGTCCCCACCAAGATTGCCAGAGGTACCATTGAAATTGTCTCTGACGTCAAGGTCGTCGAAAAGGACGGCAAGGTTGGTCCTTCGGAAGCCACTTTGTTGAACATGTTGAACATCTCGCCCTTCACCTACGGTTTGACTGTTGAACAAGTCTACGACCAAGGCCAAGTCTTCCCTCCCTCGATCTTGGACATCACCGACGACGAGTTGGTTGGCCACTTCGTCTCGGCCATCAACACCATCGCCTCGATCTCGTTGGCCCTTGGCTACCCCACCTTGCCCTCGGTTGGTCACTCGATCATTAACCACTACAAGGACTTGTTGGCCGTCTCGATCGCCACCGACTACACCTTCGAAGGTTCGGAAGCTATCAAGGACAGAATCGCCAACCCCGAAGCTTACGCCGCCGCCGCCCCCGCCGCTGCCGCTGCTGACTCGGGTGCCGCCGCCGAAGAAGCTCCTGAAGAAGAAGAAGAAGAATCCGACGACGACATGGGCATGGGTCTCTTCGACTAAGCGTAAAGTATTTGTAATATAGATACGACAGGTTAACAACTTGTAGATTATAATACCACTCAGTGGTGTCTGTTCTTTCAGGAACATGTGGGACATATTCAAACGAAGACATGGTAAACACATTCCGTTTTTTTGCTATGATGGCCTCTTCAATCGTGTAGAGAGTAGACAATAATCAAAACTACTTTAGCATGTCGCATAGATCTTTGCAGTCACACGATACTATTGTATTGATTATGACAAAGATGTGAAATGTCACCTTGATAAGCATAGCAGACTGGCTTGAGTGTATTCTATCTTTCACGACGCTTGATCCGCTCGCTGCCTGCTATAGGTATGGTATCCCAATTCAAGGTCAGCGTCAGACGGGGAGCGAAATCGTTGATCATTGTGTAGTACTGACGATTACCGGAGGATGGTCGCTTCACAAATACCTGATGAAAGTAAACGTACATCTTTAGCTTCGGCAAATGACCTTTTTCGAAGTACACTTTCTGTGGCCTTTTCATTGAGAAACATTTCTGCAATGGCCTGGGCCAGTTCTCATAATGTGACCCATTGCCAATTTCAAGATAAGTAAGCAGTAATTGGAATGGTTCAACACAGCTCAAAGGAGCGTGGGTTACGTCATTCAAAACTAACCGTTTGATTGTTGTAGGAAAGTGTTTCATTATACTTTGACAGAGACTTGGTTGCGATATGAACAAATCCTGCAAAGAAGTCAACTGGGCTGCCAAGCGGTAGATATTACTGTCGCTGTTATTGACTGCATTCACGAGGGATAGTTGTTTGACTGAAGAAAGATCAATGCATTCCGCTATCTTTCGGAAATTCCCAAACACGAGAAGATTGTCAACTCTCAATTTGTAAGGTGGGAATTCATAGGAAGCACCTCCCACTAACGTAAGTCGTGAAAGGGATTGGGTAGTGAAAAGCTTTGGGTTTGACAATTGTATATCATATGGAGCCTCTCCGAAATCTTGAATACGCCTGAAAAACACCACTTTGGCTGGTTTGAATCGTTTCCTGACATCTTTACATGGTGTTTTGACAGACAGCATCCCAATCAAAAGTAGCTTACCAGGCCATTTGAACTCACTTTGTAACAAAGTATTAAATTGTGAGCCTGAAAGAACCAGCCAACAGATCAAGTCCTCAATATAGTCATGTAAAACCGGATTTCCAAAGTCAATCACATACACTTGTCGAAATAATCTTAACTTGGCAATATGATCAACTCCTTTGGAAAGCGTTAAGAAAGGGTATACACGATGTTGAGGAAGAAAGTCGAGAACCCGAGCGAGAATCTCCAAAGGTAAGTCACCAAAAGGGTTCAATTCCTTCTCCGACTTTATCATTCAAGCCCAAAATGACACTTATAACTGTGAGTTCATTGCCTATATAAATGATCGATTTCAGGGGAATCTAATTGTGAGACGACATCCCAACAAATGTGCGCCAGATTTTGTGTAGACAACAATAAGTGTTGGACAATAGACATTATTAATTTACATGTCAATCAGGAGACGTGGTGACACCCGTGCATAAACAATAATGGAAACTCGAACCTTGATGTATTCTTTGCGAGTTGTATTAACTCAGTTCAAAATCATAAAACTCTGACAATTTTCACGAATGTGACCAAAACCAAAGATGTAGGATCTCAAATCTTCAGTCAATTAACTTTTCAAAGAAAAAAAAGAGAAAAAAAAAAAATTGATCCAAAGTCTTTAAAGTAGTAGTACAACTAAAGAAGCTGTATAATGTTGAAAAAAAAATGACACCGACGTGATTCGAACACGCGCATCTTACGATAACAGAAACCCCAACCTCACAGTTGAGAAGCTAAACGCTTGAGTCTGCCGCCTTAGACCACTCGGCCACAGTGCCTTGGTTGAGAGCCCTTGCCAAAATGTACTACCGACGATATCGAATGAAAGCCAACTTTGGCTCGAATTCGCTTCAAAAACACTCCTCTCTCCTAAATTCTTTACTTAAAAAATGTGTTATTCATACCGACATACGTGTGGTGCGCTTAAAGCTTACTTTGGGGGTCCAGGTTAGCGGAGATGATCGCTTGCGGGTAGAAGGCGTTGGTGAAGCCACCAATGTGCCAGATACCACCATCGACGATTTGGATGGTACCGGTGACGTAGTCAGCGGCAGGCGAGAACAAGTACACCGTCAGCTCGGCGATGTCCTTGGTGGTCCCGAATCTTTGCAAGGGCACCTTCAGTTCCATACCGGGGGCGCCGTCTTCGGCGGGAGGCGCCAACCGGGCAAAACCTTCGGTGCCGTCGATGAAACCAGGGGCAATGCAGTTGGATCTGATGCCCAAGGGCCCCAATTCCACCGCCAACGCGTTCAGCAACGCGTCGACCCCAGCCTTGGCCGCACCCACGTGCAATTGGAACGGCACCCCGTAGTAGTGCAACGTCGCTGAAACGAAAAGAATCGCCCCCTTGTTCTTTCTCAATTCGTCGAAAGTCGCCTTGACCGTGTTGTACGACCCCAACAAGTCGATCGACACCACCAGCTTAAACGCATTGGAGGACAAGTGGTTGAAGTCGGACAAGAAGTTACCGGCAGCGCCAGCAATGACAAAGTCAATACGGCCAAGCTCACGCACAGTGCGGTCGGCAGCGTCCTTTAATTGCTGGACTTCACGAACGTCGACGGCACCGATGCCAATGACTTTAGCGCCGGGGCGGAGCTGAGCGATTTCCTTAGCCGCGGATTCGGTCTTGGCCACGTTACGACCAATAATGGCAGCGTCGGCACCTAACAACACCATCGCTTCCGTTTGCACCCGGCAAATGGTCCCGGCACCGCCGGTGACGAACACCACTTTGCCCTTGAAGATGTCGGGCTTCCAGGGACTGTTTTTGACGAACGATTGGTCAAGGGTGTTGGGCATGGTAAAAATTTAGTTTATAAAATTGAGGATTCAGGCTCAGGGTGAGGTGGGGAGGGTCTTATAAAGGGGTACGGGGGAGGGGTAGTTTTCACATGGGGTAGGCGGCCTGCATGTAACCTACACAGTGAGAATCGCTGCCATAACTGTGCGGAGGGCCGAGGCAGCGATCGCGGCCTCGGTGTAAAAATTTGCGGGGCACCACAGTTTCTCCTAAAAAAATTAGAACACTAATCAGGACCTGTATGATCACGTGACCAAGACTGTTCCCATTTAGTGAATGGTGGGGTAGTAGTGGGGTGAAAAACGGCCACCCCATATAATTGGTAAAACGCCGAATTAAACCAATAAATACTTCGAATATTGCGATTCCGTCCATGTAGTATTTGTCTACAATTCCGCAATTTCCAGGAATTGTTTTCCCGATTTTATTATCCGTCCCTAAATAAATACGCCCACCGAGTAAGGGGCGTGTGTCTATACGTCTATAATACAATAAACAGATTTCGTGGTATGGGTCACGCCAACCGCAGCTCGGCACCGGTGCCCATGTAGGTGTCTAACCGCTTCAACGCTACCTGGTAGAGCAAGAGCATGATGGAGCTCTGGACCCCCGTCCAGATACACCGTGGCCCCACCCCCAGAAACACGCCGAAGATGCCCTCCGCTCGGTAGATCAGGTCGAGGGCGCGTGCCGTACTTGATCGCGCCAAAAGCCGCGCCTGCCACCCAGAAGCAGCGGTAGTGGAAGATGGCGTCGCCGTCGCCGTCTGGATACGGGTCTTGATCACATCTAATGGCGTGGTTAATGTACCGGCAAGGGCGCCGGCGGCGGCACCGGTGGCAAGCTCCACGGGGACACTGAGGTCCTTGGAGTGGTTATTGCAATATATGGCGAACTGGCGAAACTTCTCGTAGAAGGCGAACTGCAATGCCGAAAACGGTAAGTCACGGAGCAACGTCTCTTTGTAGCCAAAGGTCAACGTGCGCAACCCCTCGGTGCGCTTAATCTGGCGGACGGCGTCGATCAACCCTTTATAGTTATAGCCGCACCCTTTGGTGTAAGGGTTGTTATAGCGCCCTTGGAGCTGTAACCGCGTCTTGAGCACCTCCAGTGGCACGTAGAACACACTCAGCGCCAAGTCACCTAAAATACCCGAAAGGAAAAATGATAACGTCTCTGGCATCTGCCACAGCAACATCTGGCGCTTAGAAAACTCGTAAGTAGCGAAAAACGCCGCTGTTGACGGTAACAGCCCGAGCGCCGCCGGCGCGTACCCAGCGTAGAGGCCGCGGAACACCCCTTCGGTGGTGGCGATCCGTTTATAGGCGCTGACCATATTGTGATAGTTTGGGTTATTGGGGAACCCCTGCTGCCTCGTTTTCACCGTGTCCAACGAGTGCATCACCAGGTCGCCGACAAGGCCGCCAAACCCCCCGGCAAGCATACAGTAGAGCACGGGCAGCTGGTCGTCGTCGCCGTCGATAGGGTCTTGAGGGGGCGCTGGCGCCAGCGGCAAGGGCTCCAGCTTACGCGATAGGAGGGGGTCGTGGCGCACGGCGGGGTCGAAGCCCACGGGAATCGTCAGCGTGGTGTATGACTGCATCCCCGCCTTGGACAACACGAGCACACTGGTTGGTTGGCCTTGGGGTCCAGACGGCCTATGGCACAAAGGTTTTTTCAGGCGCCGCGCCCCGGCGCCTGCGCGACCCGCGGAATCGATGGCCCTGGTAACTGATGGCGAACGGAACGGAGTTTGGCGAGGGGGAGTTTCCGTAACGAGGTTGCTTCCGAGACGACACGGAGCCAGCGGCTATTAAATTACTACAAGTCGGTGGTAGGAGGTGGCAACTTGCTCCGTGACTATCTCCGCCTCACGCTAACTTCTCAGTGGCAATTGGTTCTACCAATAACTCTAAGCACTATACTATTTGCTGGTGGCAATTAATGACTCTTCACTACGGTAAAAATGTATCATTTAGTTAAGGCATAGGTCTGGGGTGAATCGCGCTTACTTAAGCGTGGTTCCCCGATTTGCAGCCATCTTGTGTGTCCCCGTGCGACTCTCTGCCCATCAATAAGAGCCTCACTATGCTCACGTCTCGCCTCAGCCTCAGGCTCGTACGCCACGCCCGACGAAGTTACCGAGTGCTTGCCCTTGAATCCTCATGTGATGATAGCTGCGTGGCTCTCTTAGAGAAGCAAACTCCCGCTGGTCGTCCCATAGTGGTGGACCATTATAAGCTGACTTTATCACTGGCAGCAGCGGGCGGCATCATCCCCACTGCTGCACAAGTGTTTCACAACTATACCATCGGTGGACTTGTGGATAAAATGGCCACCACCTACAATTTTGATCAGAATCCGCCTGACCTCATTTGTGTGACTAAAGGACCAGGAATGGCAGGTTCTCTTACCGCGTCAATCCAGCTTGCTAAAGGACTAGCACTCGCTTGGAAAGTACCGTTAGTGGGTGTGCATCATATGTTGGGTCATTTACTCACTCCGCAACTCGATGTCGATGTTAAATACCCGTTTCTCAGCTTGTTGTGTAGTGGCGGCCACACCATGCTTGTGTACTCCAAAAGTGTGGGACACCATGAGGTAATCATCAATACCATGGACATTGCTGTTGGCGATTCTCTTGATAAATGTGCTCGTGAGATTGGCTTTTATGGTAACCAGCTTGCTCGAGAGATGGAAAAGTATATTCGGAATAACCCATGGCCAGCTGAAACTACTGCTACTGTTACTGAGCCTCCTATTGACTTAGCATTAGGCTTACCGATGAAAGGACCTAAGTATCTTCGGTTTCCCGATAAGATTGAGTTCACTTTCGCATCGTTTCTTCTGAGAGTACAAACCACCTTAAAACGTCACCCTGACGCTATCGACGAAAAACAACGCCAATACATGGCTCACCACATCCAGAACATGGCGTTTGACCATATCATTGACCGTATCAACGTGGCATTGATGATACACGGCACAAACAAAAAGCTATGTCCCACTGCCGATGGTAAGTTTGATGGTGTAATCGACATTGTCTGTTCTGGGGGAGTGGCTGCCAATAAACTGCTTCGTCATAAGCTTTCTCATAACCTCAAGTTCAGAGAAACTCTTGGCCATGAACCTACATTCCATTTCCCTCCGCTTGACCTTTGCACTGATAATGCGATCATGATTGGCCTTGCTGGCATCGGACAATTTGAGAAACTCCGAATCATGTCCGATATGCTGATGGTGGCTCGACCAAAATGGCCGATAAACGAGCTTATGGATGAGCTGTGGGTTCACGTAGATGATGCCACTTATGATAAAGTAACCAAATATAACCTGTAAATAGACCACTTTAATGCCTTACGACACAACCAAAAGGGTTGAAAATCAAAGAATAACACCAGGAGATTGATTAGAGAAACGTGTAGACCTCTAGAGGGCAAAAAGTATGCATCAAAGGGGAATCGAACCCCTGGCTCCACCTTGGGAAAGTGAAATGTTACCACTACACCATTGATGCGCGTTAAAAAATAAATTTTGGCGCTTTATTGTACCAGCCTGATATAAGTAGTGACTTTCAATTCGGGCAGTTTTCACCCAATTGTTGATTTTGTTACTGATCTATATATTTCACTTACCTATTACACAAAACAATTAACCCAAACCTGTGAAAAGTCGTCACAATCGTACAAAATTAACCGCAAGTCTCACGCGAACTCGCTGTCGTTCCGGTGGCCCAAATACAGCTCTGTGATAGCATACTTCTCTACAAGCTTCTGCCACGTGTCGTAGTCAAGCAGCAATATCTGGTGGTTGATGGTAACGTCGTCGTTACTCTCCAATTCCGGTTCTTCCTCATCATCATCATCTTCGTCCTCGTCTTCTTCATCGTCTTCGTCCTCTTCATCGTTAGCATTCTGGTTACTATTAGTGTTAATCATCTTCACCATGGGCTCGCCGTTCTCGAGAAACAACCGCACCCGCATATCCTTAATAAGGAAACTAGTATAGAACAAATTCTCCACCAGCTGGGCAAAGCTATCGGGGTCAAGAAAAAACCGACAAAACGGCACCCCGTGCTTGCGGTCGGCTTCAGGCTTCGCCTCGTATATGTGGTATACTCGCTTGACCATCTTCGCCGTATTATTCACTTCATCTTCCTGGATATCCTCAGCTCGGAGGTGGGTGGCTCGCGTCTGGGGCTGGTTACCCGTATCGTCAACAATGCGTGCCCGACGCTCCACCCGCCGTCTCTCTTGCTCCAACGGTCCATTAAGGAAATCACACGGTACGGGACGAGAAGACTTCTCATAGTATAAAGCGCCAAGCCTCATCCAGTTGTGCATGTTGAAGTGCTCCTCGCTCCACTTGCCGTCGTCGTCGCGGTAGTGGTCGCCATCAGGGACATCTTCGGTCAAAAACCGCTTGAGGTGCTTGGTAACATCGTCAACCGATAGCAAAAGCCCCTCCTTCAGAAACTCAAGCTTTTGCACGTAGGTGGCGATTTTCTGGGTGACGGCAGCGAGCGCCTCCAGGTCGCGGGCATAGAGCCCTAAACTGGTAGTCCGGTTGACTAAGGTCCACACGTCTCTGAGATCGCTAAGCAACTCAGTGGGAGCAGCGCCAGCGTTGTCGCATTTGGCGAGCAAGGCGGTGGTGCGGTTGGAGACCTCGAGCTCGACCCCGTCCGCCATTGTGCAAAATGCCAGATGGTGTCCCACCGCTACGCGCGGCTCCCCGATGTGGCGAGGGATGGGAAAACAACGCTGACGGCAGGGCTTATGTACACTACCACCCCGCGCCTTGATGAGATCAAGCGCACAATACGCGTATATCAGGGTTTAAAGACGATGGCAATCACGGTGCTTGACGCCGATGTTGTCAACAAAATCGCTGCTGGCGAGGTGATTATGCGACCTGCCAATGCGGTGAAGGAATTGCTTGAAAACGCCATCGACGCCGGCGCTACCCTGGTGGAGATCGTGGTGGTGGATGGCGGCCTTAAACAGCTCCGCATCAGCGATAACGGCCACGGCATTGCTCGTGAGGATTTACCATTACTATGTCAACGGTTTGCCACTCTGAAACTACGCACGTTTACTGATTTACAGACTATCGCCACCTATGGTTTTAGAGGCGAGGCATTGGCCCTGATCTCCCATATTGCTCGCGTCCTGGTGACGACGAGAACCGCTGACGATACTGTGGCACTGAAGGCTTACTATACTGATGGGAAGCTTGCTACCCTGAATTTTAAGCCCCTGGATAAGGACCCTGAGACGTTAATCAAGCGCACTGCTGGTACTGTGGGCACAACTCTTGTGGTGGACGATATGTTCTATAACTTACCCAACCGGCTCAAACTGATGCGGCTGAAGCTGGAAGAGCTTACCAAGATTGTGGAAGTGGCTAGTCGCTACGCTATTCATAGAGGGGATACTTGTGCCATTAGAGTATTGACTAAAGAGCTGATGGTACCTTTAGTGAGCTCACGCGTGGGAATGCCATTAGCTGACCGTATGCGTCAAGTACTGGGCCAGGCAGGAGAGACGCTAGAGCTTGAGATTGACGCTGAAGCTGAAGACGGACTCTATCTTATAAAGGGACTGTTATCGTCACCAAATTTCGTATCAAAGAAGAAAGTGGCTCCGGTGATCTTCATCAATGATCGGTTAGTCACCTGTGAACCGTTAAAGAGAGCAGTTAACGCCGTCTACGCCAATTTGCTCCCACGAGGACTGTACCCTTTCTACTACTTATCATTAACCATCGACCCTCACTCAGTGGATGTCAACATGCACCCGACAAAAAGTGAGGTACGGTTCCTTCATGAAGACGAAATCATCCAAAGAGTATCGGATGCGGTATACCAACGACTCCAGGAGGTGGATACTGCTCGTTCGTTTGCCAGCCAGCAACAACCTTTAAGCAAACGATCACTGACATCAATGGAGCTGGCAACAAAGAAGTACCGTCAAGATAGTAAACTCGTACGAGTGGATGCTAGCCAGCTGAGAATCACACGGTACTTGGAGCCTCGACCCTCCCAACTACCAACTAACGATGAAGAAGACAGCTTCAACGAAAGTGACGAAGATAACAGTATGGAGGAAGAAGAGTCGAGCCCTGCTGCTGAAACATACGATACTTCAGGACGATTCCTTGATAATGACCATATTGATAGCATCGACGTTAACTACGATCTCGCCAGTATTCATGAACTACGCCAGGAATACGTCACCCACGTGTCTCGGGCTCTTACCAAAGCGTTTGCTAATGCTGCCTACGTGGGCATGGTCGACCCCGAAAAGCGACTCGTGTGTTTCCAGTACGGCGTCAAACTCTACCTCGCCGATCTTGCTGCTGTTTTGAACCAGTTCATCTACCAGTTGTGCCTTGAGGATTTTGGTCGGTTTGGCATTTACGAGTTGAACCCCCCGGTGCCGCTAACCTCGATACTTGCGGGGTTTGATGACGTCGACGGCGTCATCGCAGGGCTAGAGACGATTCGGCCGATGCTTCGAGCCTATTACCGCATGGGGATTGAAAATGGCCACTTAACCCTGTTGCCGCTTATTGTGTCGGGTTTGGAGCCCGCGCCAGAGAAGCTTCCCTACTTGTTAACACGGCTAGCGTCGGTGCCCCTCGATGACGAAAAATCGTGGTTCGACCACGTCCTGCGCCAGTTTGCCCTCTTTTTCATCCCCCCACCTAATACGGCTACCGAAGACGCCGATAACCTCTTAGATCTCTGGGTATTTCCCGAGCTTAGGCGCCGCTTCGTCGCCCCGACCCTGCTCCACCAGGACGTCATCGAGATCGCCGACCTCCCCGGGCTCTACCGTGTGTTTGAACGCTGCTAGAACCAAACATCCTGATCCCCGAAGGTCGCCTCCCCACACCCGGGGACCCAGCGAAGGAATCGCCAATTTTTCCCCCCACATCTTTACCTGTTATGGAAACGCCCCTATCGCACTATCACACTCGGTTTTTTTGCACATGCTCGCACGGGCGCACTTTTTTCCCTAGCTATATTAAAGGTTGACGCGACCCCGCTCAACTAGGAAATCCGAGCCCAGGTGCGATATAACTGACCCCGTGTTCGCCCCCTGAACAGTATCCGACCCCACGGCCATGATCATCGAAGACGGGATCCACGACCCGGTGATGCGGGCGCTCAACTTAGGGCTGTACCCGCGCGCCGTTGCCGCCGACAACTCCTGGGCCCACCTGCCCCAGCCGTTCGACCGCATGGTCTACTGTGACTACCACGTCAGCCGGTTAATCGCCACCGAGTTCCACGGCGACGAATTGCCCGACGACAGCCACGTCCTGGCTGAAGCGAAACAGACGTTGCTCGACTTGTTCAGCGTGCTCGACAACGTGTCGCTGCTGACGATGGAATACGAGGAACGGCTCTATTATAGCGTCATCAGAGCCCACATGTGCTTCTTGGACGGGCGCATGGACGAGATGAAGCAGGTGCTCACCCTGATTACGGTGGTGCGCCAAGGCGCCGCCGCCCCGACGCTGGCGCTGGTCCACCACCTCCAGTTCGTGCTGTACGTCACCGTGCGCTACTACGTGTTGTTGGGGCTCACCAATTGGAAGTACTGGCTCGACTACCTTACTCTGTTTGCCGAGCTGTTCACTAAGACTCAAGTGGCCGCCAACCACTGGCTCCGCAATTTGTACTACGAATTGGGGCTGACGCTTGCGCTGAACGGCCAGCTCACCTGGGGCGACATCCTGGAGCTTCTGTTTGCCAAAAATGAATTAAGCGTCACTGGGTTCTGCCTGTACCTCATCTTACACACCAAGCTTAGTGACACCAAGTTCATCGAACAGTTTATGGCGTGGTTGGACCAGAGCATCCTCGCCAAGATCAATGACCCGCGCCACCGGTTCCCCGACGCTGCCCAGCTGACGCCCGAAATCGAAGCGTTCGTCACTCAGCTCTACGAGCTGGTGGAGTCGTTCCACCGCATCGCCCTGACCGCTCCCGTGCGCACCCGCCAACGGTTGCTTAAACCGCTGACGCTGCACCAATTCTTGTTGGCCCAGCTCCTGCGTACTTATCAACTGAAACAGGTGACGGCAAACTTGATCTATACGTTGATCTCCATCGACGAAAACGACGAGGCGTTGGCCGCGTTTGAAACCATCATCCAATACCTCAAATTGGATGAAGCCCACAGCCACGGCAATATCGACGACGTGTTGTCGGTGATCAACTTATATCTGACGTGTCTTTTGAAGCTTAACCCCAAGAACGGCGCCCGCTTCTTGTACCTGGACGACACCTCGGTGCTCCATAAGCTCAAGCAAGCGGAGAAGAAGTTACAGGAATACCTCGATAAGTTCTGCGAGTACGCTGAAATCTCCGTCACCGGTGACGATGACGACCTCGGGTTCTTATACAAGAAGTACAACCCCAATTTGACCGGTGTCGACCGGCTGACGTTGGTCGACGTCGTGCTGCAAGGGTACTACGCCCTCGGCCAGTTTGAGGACGTCACCGCATCTCGTCTCAGCCCTACCCTCGAGCAAATGGGCACGGCCCTGGATCAAGCGCTCAATCAATACCGTCGCGCCGTCATCATCAACACTACTGGCAACCCGCACTATCTCTATACTTACTCGCGGTGCCTTGCCACCATGGGCCGCCTCAAACCGGCTTTGAAGTTGTGCAAGTTCACCCTCAAAAAGTACCCGGAAACGTTTAATACCTGGAACTTGATGGTGCTTATATTGTCGGCCTTCGAAACTAACCGCCACGGCCAAGGCGTCGTCACCAGCCAGACAGAGCTGGAGAAGTTCATTGAGAACGCCCTCAACATCGCTTCGCTCTACAACCAGAAAAACCGCGGCCGGGTGTCGTTGGAAACCCGGTACGAGATTCTTCAATTGAAGCTTACTCAATTGGCCGTGCTTGAGCAGAACCATGGTGTCAACTATATCTTAGAGCATATGACCGACTTATTCGTGTTGTACCAGGAGTTGTTTGAGACTACACCCTCTGCGCAGCCTCTGGGCAAAGTGGTGCTGCTGGTGCACGATTCCACCTGGAGTCACCGCCCCAGTGTCATTGACCCGGCGTCGAAGAAGGACACCCACGCCGATGAAATTACTCCCCATGCTAACGGCCACGTGGTGAAGATCAGCGGTCAACACAGCCACTCGACGCTGCGTCGTCATCTGCTTTCGCTCGACCGTTTCCGCCGGTCGCTGAAGCACGCGAAGCCGACATCGGCGCCCGCTCCTGCTGTTCCTACCACTACCGCCGCCGCCGCCGCTGCCGCCTCCGTACTGCGTCAAGCGCTGGTTAAACGGCCGCAAACGTCACAAGAACGTACCGAAGTCACCGAACGCAAAATCCTCCAGGAATTGTGGTTGTGGACATCTCGTGTTTACATGCGGGTGGGACTTGCTGACGAAGCCGAACAATGTCTTGTGGAAGCGGAGCTGATCTATGAACCCAACGTGCGTACTTACACCGCCTTGGGTTACTTGACCAGTGAACTGCGTAAGTTCTTAGCCCTCCAGGAGTTTGAGAGACTGTTGGAGATCATGACCACCACCGGCTCGCCCTTGAGCGACTACGGCTTAACTCTTTTGGGCCTTGCTAAGTTATTCATCCTCGACGACAGACCTGAACTGCTGTTGTTCATCTCGGCGGAGGACCGCAAGGCAGGGCTTATCCGTCTCAAGGCGTTGTTGGAAGAGTACGCCGCCACCTGGGGCTACGGTTATACAACCCCCGAGGTGTGGTACTTTTTGTCGAAGATTTATGAAGTTGTCGACGACAAAGTCCTCCTCAAAAAGCTGTTGTGGCGGTGCATCGAGCTTGAAGATTACCGTCCGGTGCGCGCATTTAACACCCTCGAAGGGTTCCGGACATTATAGACACCCTCTATTAATGACATAGCTAGTACAAACAAGAACCAACTCAATTGTATAAACATTGAAAATGGAGAAAAAAACCTCCGTTATAGATCTTATGACTTATTTCTTACTATATCTTAACGACAAAAGACAATCAGTGTCAAGGGCTAGAAGCCAATGGCGCCAGCGACGAGGCAATAGAGCGCGCCACCGACAACGAGAAGCAACCCGAGCTTCACCATCCGAATGTTGGACTTCTCCTCGTCGATGATTCTTTGCGTCGCCTTGTCGGTGGGAGCACGAGCCGCAATCACCACCTCGGTCTCCGTCGGCTGGCGGGGCTTTCTGTCCTTGGGAGGCGGCGCCAGCGGGTACATCGACTCGCAGAACTGTTCGATCTCGCCACATTTGATCCCGATCTTGAGGTAGTTGGGGTCGTTGACGTTCAGCTTGTGGTTGATTTCACGGATGTAACGACGGAAGATGTTGACGACACCAGGCATAGTTCTCAGCTCCAAGATTAACTGGCAGGTAGTGCCCTTGCGGATCTTGACGTTCTTGTGCATCACCTCGGGGTTGTTGTACACCAACGCCAACGTCGCCACCGCCATCACTTGAGGGATAGCACAGAAGTTGAACGACGACGGGTCGTTGACTCGGGCAAGGTACTCGAGCACGTGACGGACGTGGCCGAGGGCATTGAGTACAAGGTCGTTGATGCACCACAACGCCTGTTCGCGATGATCAGCATCCTTCAATTGGGGCAATTTTTCGGCGTACTTGGACCAGATCTCCTTGGGCCAGAACGAGCGGCCGTCGTCAAGGTCCTCGCGGTAGTCACGGATGATGTTGGTCTTTTGCAAGAACAACCCCATCAGCTCGGCACGCACGTAGCCTTCGTTGTTGAGCTTAGGGTCACAGAAGTCGGCTTGAGCCATCAATTGAGTCAACCCTTCACCAACAAGACCAGCGACATAGTGGCAGTACAAGTCGTAGTCCTTGACGGTCTGCACGCCGTTGTGGTTGAAGTTGTCGTCCAAAATGTAGTCGGCCATGCCGTTACCCATTTTGTGGGTGATGTCCTTGATAATGTCCTGGTACTGGGGCTTAAGCTTGTGGTACTCGGCTAAGATGACGTCGAACTCTTCGAGCACCGCCTTGTCCTTCTCCTTACTGTCGTGGAAGGTCCAATCGGTGGTATTGAGCTTGTCGTCAAACAGACGAAGCAACGGCACCTTCACCTTAGCATCAATGGTCATATCGTCCTCGACGGTGTCCAACGCCCGCAACACCAAGTAGAACAACATCACGGCATCGCGTAGTTCCGGGTGGAGCTCACGGATGACGGCGGCAAACGATCTCAGCGTCAAGTTTAAGAGCTCGTAGCACCGTTGCAACAGTTTCGGCAGTGACTTGAGGTCCTGGTAGTGCACGGGCAAGCGGAACCAAAGGAGTTGCAAGACCGAAAACGCCTCCAGCGGATGCGTGAGCAACTCAGCCAATTTACCCATGGTGAAGTTTAGGAGGTGACAATGAGGGGGGCTGGTAAGGAGGGTGGTGGGTTTGTCGTATAGGCCCGGATTCGCTCACGTGCCCCTATCTGAAAAACGCGATTCGATGAGGGGCTATACGACGCGACCACGTGACGTATACGGCGTAAGGGAATCAATAGAGGCGCCCAACAACCACCACTAACTTGAATTACGGGAGGCTTAATTGCAGTGTTGAAAGTGGGAAAAGTAATAGTTTCCTATCTAATGATACCTACCACCAAACCCCTTGAGCGCGCAACCACTCGACCTGAATTGATTGGTTTGCCAGTGAAATTCAGTGAAAAGGTGTCCAAAGGAAACAATTACAATGTAAGTGGTAATTGCATTCATGTTATAAGTTTCTGGATAATTGATGAGAGGGGAAATCATTGTGGTTAGAGGGCAGTTAACAATGGGTGTCACAGTTTATCCGGTATGAGGGTTATCAGCATACTCGAGTCCACCGTAAACTCTTTTGAGCACGACGTCAAAGCGGGCCTCGAACGCCTTTTTCTCCCGTGACATAGCTGCTTCAATTCTTTCGTAGAACTTTTGCGTAGCTTGTGTCATTTCTCTGCGATAGCGTACACCACACAAATGATAGTCTATCTTGTCGCTCAGAGTGTAATGCAAAGCATTGGCCACACAGCCGAGAAACTGCATCTTGACCTCGGTAAGCTGCTTCTTGACCACCGTTTTGATTGCCAAAAAGTGCATCCCCTCAACTTTGAAGAGGTCGTCGTTTTGATCTCGTGGCACTTCGTGATAATAGTCAAAGCATTTCTTGACGAATTTCTCGGTCCTGCTTTCAAACTGATCACAAAATTCATTGAGAATGGTTTTCATTGTCTTCACAAGGTGACGTCTCATGTCACGGTAGTCTCGTCTAATATCTAGCACGAGACGATCACCAAGAATGGAGCAGCTCTTCCTAAGCTCAAGCACAGGGGGAGGAGGAGAAGGAGGTTCAAAGCTTCTTAAGTACTCTTCACTGATGTTCTCCATGTAAACGGCAAACTCAACGCGGCGTTGCAATTGGTTGGTAAGCTCATGAACATGTTGAGCGTGATCAGCAAGCCAATTACCGAGCTCTATGAAACCTTCCTTGTAAAATCCGACTTTGGTGACTAAGGTAATGCCAGGATAGTCCCGAACAAAGGCACCCACGTTTTCTGCGAGTGATGGGGAGACCGAATCCATTGACGGGAAAACATGGCAAACACGATGATTATATATCTTGGAATGAAGGCAACTCCAAAGATAAAAAGGGTCAGCAACCGTCGACAGAGCACACCATACACAAACTCTGCTAAAAGCATTTTGATAAAACCAACACTGGTGGACAGCTTCGTTCAGCTTCAATTATTCAAAGCACATTTCACCATCCAAACAAATCCTCATATCTATCGTTTCAGACATTGGAGTCTTCGTTGTAGATTATCGTACCATTCCATAGAACTTGCCTCTCCCAAATTGTATACAGTGTCGCACCAACACGGTAGTGAATCGATTAGCTAAGCCTAGCTGACATATGTGAATACAGAAGACTTATACTTTTTTATTTGATGTCCTTCTTCTGTGAGTCAGGATTATAAGTGCAACTTGATTCCCCCAGTATTATTTGTTAGAACATGTGGCCCTTTAATTAGCAGGATATTGTAAAACAAATGAAATGAATGACTTTCAAACCAATAATGGTCAAACCACAATTATATCTCGCCGATGTTTACTATCATCATTCAGATTAATTGAAAGAGGATCAAACCTTACCACCTACGCCACATGATTATCTAGTCATTGTACATTATCATAGCTTTAAATAAATTACTCGACGTCAAGAATGATCCCGTTACGTTCGGCCCACGACTTCCCCAGCAGAAACACGCCATCGGGATCCATCTTTTGCCGCACCTGGTTATACTTGACCAAGTTTTCGCCGAACCAGTCCTTCATCACCGGCTTGAAGCCGTCCATGGCGTAAAACTTCTCACCGCCATAGCCAAGCTGAGTACGGAGCGACGCATCCGTCATGTGGTCGCCGTCCAAGCCAATGAAGTTCTTGGCCCAGTGAGGCTTACCACCAGCATCAGCCATCACCGTTTCGAAGATGCGGTACCATTCCCTGGTCTCGACATTGGTGTGGAAAGGACGGTACATGGTGGCGTTGATGAACAACGTGAGCTGTTCGTTGGTGACCTTGTCACTGTAAGGACGCACGGGAGAATTGTCTAAGTAGGGTCGCAAGTTGTTACCGGGGATAGGACCAGTGGAAAGCCGGTCGCGCTTAGCAAGCCACAGTTGAGGCGGGTTGAGCGAGGGCTTGCCGTTTTCTTCAAAGGGTACATCAGTGTAAGTAACGTTAGAACAACGCACTTCAATGGGAGCGTGGACATAGTAGTCACCGTTATTAGCAGCCACTTTTATAGCCGCCTTAAGCTTCGTCAACACCTCTTTCCCTTCGATCAAAGGAGCCAGCCATTCGTTGACGAATTGCGAGAACAAGCAGTCCATGTTAAGACCATCAACCGAGTGTTGCACGGCCACAGCACCGTAACCAATAGTTTCCACAGTACCGTATTGACGGCTAAACACAAACCGTTCCACGTGAGGAGTGAGCCAAGGAGCCACGTGTACACTGAGCCAAAGCAACAGCTCGTAGAACAAACGACCGGACCAGGTGCCATACCACGAAGGGCGAGGAGCTGAAAGCGGCTCGTCCAGCTTCAGCGCCCGCCAGCACACACACTTGTCGGTGTAAGGGAACCACCAGATACGGATAAACTCCAGATCCAACCAGATCGAGTCCCACATGTCGAGGAGAGTGTCAAACTTGATGATCTCTTGCTTCGACTTGATGGTGTAAGCAGGACACGTCCGTAAAGTAACGTAACAGATGATACCGATCTTACCCAATGACAACAACGCCGCCCGGAAGATGTCGGGGTTCTTCACCGAGCTACACTCGACAAGTTCCCCGGCACTGTTCATGATCTCGATGCTCACCACTTGCTGCGACACAAGCCCGTGGTACTGAGTCAGGCCGTGGGTCCCCGTAGAGATGAGCCCTGCCACCAGCTGATCGGAGATCAGACCCAAGTTCTGGATGGCCAAGTTGAGGTCTTGAAGCAATTTGTTCAATTCATAGACCCGGCACCCGGCTTCCACCTTCAAATCGACAAATTTCACTTCATCACCCTTACCATCAGATTTGGGCCCACGCACCTCAGTCGTCAGCACCAACTTGTTGAACTTATCCAAATTGCACATCCACTCGTTCGTCATCGTCAAGTCACTGGGCGAGTGGCCTGAGCCCACCGTCATGATCGTTTTGCCCTGGCGGCGGGCTTCATTGACCAAAGTCCGGATCTCCTCGAGGGTCCGCGGCTGGAAGTACGCCTGAGGCCGACACCGGTAGGTGCCAGCCCACGTCAGGTGGATCACCTTCGACGTGAGAAACGGTTGCAACGATTCTGCCACGAGCATTCAAAACCGTTTATAGACTTTAACTACTACGGTCGCGCAATTTATCCGAGGGGGCGAGCGAGGGCGACGGACGGTGGTCGCTCGTCCGCTGTAGTGGCGGTTAATTTTGAGGCCACCAATGACGTCATGAAGTTGCTCGTGGGTGGTTGATTATGGGGTTGTGGGGGGTGTCCTGGTGCTTAGCCGTGTGGGATTTGCCTCGGTGGGTCCCAATCTACTCCATTAGGAATTAGCCTTAGATTGTTGTCACCGATGCGGATATAAGACTGTTGTAGTCTACACAGGCGGACATCTTTGAGACATTATATCCGAGAGAAAGTTTGACATTCCTTAACTCAATTCTTTACTGTATAAATCGCATCACCCATTCATATCGGACCATGTTCGTATTTGAAAGTGAGACATCACCAGATTTAAGGAAAATAACGAAATTACCCCCAAGAAGTACAAAACTGAGTCTAGTGCAAATGAGTCTTTTTTTTGACTTGAGTCAATAATACCCCAGAAAGTCAAATTGTAGAGTTCATAAAATGTAATTCGTCAGCTATCGAGTTTCACTACCTTACCCTCATTAAGTACTTCAGTCAAAGTGGCGGTGTCGCACTTACTATGACTGACTCGAAGCTGGTGATCCCCCTCGAGCTGAACCCGGAGATCTTCTCCCAATTGGCGGCGAAGCTTGGTCTTTCGCCCGTGCTCCAATTTCACGACGTCTACTCGCTCACTGACCCGGACTTGTTGGCGTTCTTGCCCCAGCCCGTGTACGCCATCATCCTCCTCTTCCCCCTCACCGGAGGCTACGAAGACTATCGCAAGCAGCAAGATGCTAATCTGCAAGGCTATCCCAACCCTGAAGACGTCCACTGGTATAAGCAAACCATTGGCAACGGCTGTGGCCTCTACGCGTTGCTCCATGCCCTCACAAACTTACCCCGCGATTTCATCACCGCCCACCTGAGCGTATCCCACTTAATCGACGCCACTAGAGGTAAGCTGGTGGCGGAAACGGCCCGTCACGTTGAGGACCTCGAGTCGCAAATCAAATTGGACGAAAACTACGGTGTTCAGGGCCAAACCGAGGCGCCGGCACCAGAATCGCTGGTGGAACTCCACTTTATTACGTTTATTAAGGGGGATGACGGCCACTTATACGAACTTGATGGCCGCCGGGCGGGTCCCGTCGACTTGGGAGAGGCTACCGTCGAAAATAACCACTTATTGTCTGACCCTAAGGTGGCCCAGAAAGTGCAGTTCTACATGGATAACACCGACGATGCTAACAAGAATAACTTTGCCATCATGGCGCTTGCGCCGTCGCTCGACTAGAAGCTGGTATGCGTGTGTATTCAGTGAGATGAAATGCATTTAACGAGGAGGTCGCCCTCCCCTCAATGAGTCCTAGAAGTGTTAGTAGATAGTCCATCACTTTTGCCCTTTGATATCCACCCGGGAGAACTTGGGGCTATTGACAATCTGGTGTAGCTGTTGTCGAGCGGCCACACAGTCAAAATCAGTCTCGGTGATGTATTTAGATAGGCCGGCATCCTCGTAGAATTGTTTAGTTATGGCAAACATGTGTTCGATAACCTCGAGGCTGAGCTTGCGATAGGCAGTGGAAACCATTGCTAATGATCTCATTTGTAGCTTGGGAGCAAGTAAAGACCACACTGTCTTCCCCACAAGTGGTACTTTACACAGATCGGACGCGGTGCGTAACTTGCGGAATTGGGTGAATAACTCGGTGAAGTTCTTGGTCAAAATGTGCTGTTGGCAGTCAAACAACGTCTGGCTAAGATCAAACACCCTACGCTGGTCATCGGTGGCCTCGTACTGGCGAGTGGTGGTGATGACCTCCGTGTAGATCTTAGCCATTTCCGTCTGGTTGTGCGTGATCAACATGTAGATGATGCGGTAGAGGATGAATTCTGGCTCGGAGCCGATAAACTCCTTCTTGCCCGAACGACGCCGTTGTTGATGGTACAACACTTTTAATTGGGTCTGACACTGATTGAACTCCCCCAAATCACCATTGTCTAATGATATACGCGCATTTTCCTCGTAGGCCCTAATGGTAAACATGTTCTTGATGTGTTGCACCGTCAAATCCTGGCGGATGGATTTGAACTGGCCGATCACGTACGAATAGTTATTAGTCTCCCGGTACTTGTCCATCACAAATTTAAGTGATTTCTCAAGTACCGCTTGCGGTCGCACGTTAGCCGGGTCAGGGGCCAGAGTAAGTCGAAGATAGTTCTTTTCAAGGGCTTGGGAATATCCTTTCACCGGGCCGTCGGTGGCGTACACCACCGGCGCCTTCGGCTTAGCGTTTTTAAATCGTTCTTGGCGGGCCCGCTTGCGGTCGGCAGACTCAAAGTCGTCGGTGTCGTCGGAGTCAGAAGTTACTGGCCGCTTAGCGGCTCCTGGCGCCGATTTCGGCACTAACTCAAGTCTGCCGCCGTCAAGCACTGGCACCTTCTGCTTCTTCCAGTTGGTCAGATACACCTGGTTGGTGTTGGCTGCCATTTGGAGTAAGGCCTGCATTTGTTCGTTGACTATCTTTTGGGTTGGGGCGGGGAGCATTTGTGACCGCTGAAGGTTCTTTTCCACGAACACTTGGAGGTCGGCTGGCCACTGGGTCACTGGGGCTGGCGACGGCAGCTTCGGTTTGCTCTTTGTTCCCAATTTTCGGGGCTGGACTTCGTACTTCCCCGACATGATTTTGGGGAATTTTGTGATAGGCTAAAAGGGTTGATAAATAGTACTGTGAGTGAACAATCAAATGCGTCGACACTGGTATAGGTTCGGTGGTAGTAAACAATAGGATACTAAAAAGTGTTTCCGACCAGCGCAACTTATATTAATCAGATGATGACCTTATCAGGGAAGGGATGGGGATAGGCCGGAAAGACGAATGGAATCTCACAAAAAGGGACACGGAAATAGTCACCCAAATAACTGTGCTGATGCAGAATAAAAGGGTATCGTAACTAACTAATTGGGATAGCGTGGGTGAGTGTCGCTCAGGGGGTCGATGCCACGGTTGTCAAGATGATTAGCGCGATAAGCCTGTAATGACCTTAAAAATGAGGTACCACAAACGACTGGGGAGCAGCGATTGCGCACGTGACGAATTAGACCAGACCACCACTACGGAACCCCGATTACATCAAGAACCACAATTTCGTGATTAACTTGAGAATACAGTTTCAAAATACACCCTAAAACCTCAGTGACCTCGATTCTTTATCTATCCACGCCCTTTTACTCTGTCGCTACCACCTACCAAATTTCGGACTCACCCCCCCACCTAATTTTCCGAGATCGCGACTCGAGGCTTTCCGTGTGTGGCTGGGGGCATGAAATCGTCGATCTTCAACGATGCCAAACCGAGAACCAAACCCAAGCGGCCGGCTCCGGTGCATGCCAATGGAAGCATCAAGAGGCTGCTAGCACCTCCGTCGTCGGCGTCCACCACCCCGAAAAAACTGTGGAACTTGGACGAGTTGATCTCGGCGTACCAAGAGCTGGGCGAACTCCCGCCGATTCTCTCGCCCACGCTCCCTAAACGCGATGGAGAAGAGCTGATATCCCTGCTACCGTTGCTTCTGCCTACATTGCCGCCGATTTTCACGGCAGTGCTGCCATCTAAGTCTCCGTCGAAGGCGGCTACCCCTCGGGAAACCAGTCCTGCGCCGACCCATAAGTACCGGGTGAAATGGATCAGTCAGATGGAGGCGGCGAAGCCCCGGTTTTTGGTTCGAATAACTTTTGACCCGGCCTACTATCGCACACGAATAAAGGCCCTGCTGGCGGCCCTGCTGGCAACCCTGCTGGCGGCCCTGCTGGGGGCCCTGATGGCTAAGCTTAAGCTGCCGATGAAACTTCAAGGGCTCGGCATCACTCTGAGCCAATCACCAGCCCCATCAACACAAGCTGATCCTGAAGCCATTGCTAATAAGAACCACTGGCTTGGTCTCGCTCGAACCGCTAAGACGCAGTGCTTAGAGAAAGAGAGTGACGATGTGAGGGCTCTCGTGGCTGGCTTGGACGCGGTGCTCATGTACATTATTAGCCACGACATCGATGAACGGATCAGAGTGGCTACCAACGGGTTGCCGCTGGAGCGCCACTGGAGGGCGTTGGACGCCGACATCAAAGCCGTGATTCAACGCCTTGCCAAAGCCAACCCTCCCCACTCACTGCTTGCTGAGTTCTTTAATCTTTTTACCAAATTACTTCACACTTGTCGAGCCGTTATCCAGTTGAGGATTCATAGCGTGTTGAGGAAAGTGGCGGCCCTGTATAACGCCAAGGGCACTGAGCAGAAAGTGATTAGTGTTCAATCAGAGGCGTTGAAGGCTTATGACAACTTTTCCGATTGCCTTGTGGCAGCTAAGCCAGCACTGATTTACTCATTAGTGCCATCACGTCTTCCTCAAACATTCCGTCGCAAGCAAACCAGCCTAGAAAAACCACCACTGGAGTCACGGGTGGACCCCAAAGATCGCATCCGTCCATCTAAAGCTTCATTTTATCTCCCTATTGGTCCATACCTGACATTGAGCGAGATGGCGGGGTTGTTGTACTCTGCCACGAACGAGTTTATCGAGATATTCAACAATAACTCCGGCAAAAGAATGGAGTATACCTTGAATGCCAATTGATGGTGACATTCAGACCTTTAGCCACTAAAACAAGGCTACGTCATTAATATAATATACCTAGATTTGACTTATAGCGTTTCTGCTAACAGTCGTGCAAGAGGAAAATCTCATTAAATAAACATGATCAAAGCTAAATCATTGTACTAGGACTCATTGGCGAGTGTCAAGATATGGATGCGATCAGCCAACAAACTATTCTGAGGAACCTTACGCCTACGCCAACATCATCTTTAGGACATGGGTTTTGAGGATCGTAAGCCCCAGTAGCTGAATACCTCTAGTGAGCCCAACAACGATGGGTTGGAAAACTCTGCAGAAGTCGACAATTTACACCTGTCATGTCATGCTTGTGCAGTTTGCAGTGTGGAGTGCTTTGTAACTGTCTCAATATGACATGTGCGTTAAGTGCAGGTGTCAAGATCCTGCATGCGGCTAAACCTAATTTATATACAGAGCATATACGGAGCATCTCAAATTGTCAATTTTCAATGCTCCACTCATCAAATGAAACCCAACCGGAAGCCAGTGCCACGGGTGTCCCTACCAACAGTTCTCAACAACCTGGGGTATCTGCAACTGGCCAGTTCTTGCGGCTACTCCCCACAGCTGAAGACCGGTGGCGTGTGGTCGACTTCATCTCAAAAATGAGGGAAACGGACTCTGAATACAAAGAAAAACGACTGGCCATCTCTCGTGAACTAGTTGGTTTGGTCGGTTACCTTATTGTGCAACTCCATGGATTCGATAACCGAGAGTGGGAGACACTTCTTCAAGCGCTTGAAAAAAGTATGGACGATCATAAACAGGCGATAACAGAAATTGAAGCTGAGTACAGAGCTCAGGAGGCTCGTCTTAACAACCCGGATGCAGAGCAGTTCTCCGATTTCCAGAGAAAGGTGGCGGAACTCGAGCTCAAACTTCCGTTGCAGCAGCGACAAATCTTGCACGCCAATTTAAAGCTTTCTCCCGAAAACCATGGGAAAGTGGAACAGTGTGTGGACGATATGATGAGAAATATCCAGTTGTTGGAACACTCCAGAAGAGAAGTGGAGGATCGTTTGCACTACCAGCCATCATCAAATGATGTTCAGGTTGTTGCCGAACTGAACGAAGCGTTGTGGTTGAGAGTGCCAACCGAAAATGGGAGGGAGAACATCCGCTTGAACTTCAAGACCAATGTATTCACCAGTAACGTCATTGATGAAGACCAAGGCCGAGGGATGATTAATATGTGGAATAATGATTGATGAGAGATAATTTTAACGTGGAACGATTATAATGAGAGATACCCTAAATATGGAGCCAATGGAACCAAAATTAACATTAATACCTTAAAATGCGTAGAGATTCTAATGATTTGGTACTGTCAAATCGCCACGGTATACCGTATGGTGTACTTCATCACCTTCAGCTCACTTGGTCACGTGTTTGAAGCTCTCACTTGGCTCGTGCGATATATTAAGTGGGGGGAGCAGCGTCACCCTCCTTGATCACTCAAATCACCTTGACAACGCAAGATGAGCATCTGAAAATCGCATCGTGACCATATTTGGGGGCGGTGCTGGCATTCTAGCCCCAGACAATGGTTATTATCGTAGAGTTGTCTCGTCAACTAACAATCCTGCCTGCCAAGCCGCACAACTACGCCATTGCCCTCAATAATGGCATGCACTTACCCCTTGCCTCGTCAACGACGGCCCAACAAATTACTTTTGCCCCTTGTCTAAAAGTGGCTTGATGTGTTGGAGCTAACAGTCATTCTACTGCCGACTGGAAAGATGAATTCAGTGAAGAGAGGCTGTGGAATAGTTGTCCCAAATTTGCCACCGATCGTATTCGTGCGCCAAGGATCTCGATCTAATCAATCTATTGTCTGCGCCAATTCACCGTCGCGCATTTAGGAAGTGCTAGACGATGCACTAAAATTGGGCGTTGCTGTTGAAGAGACGACGCTGCAAACAAGGAGAAGTACGGAATGCCATCCCCGCCTTCACCCCTTGAGTCTTTGTCGTCAACCACAAATTTTTCCCCCGAGAGTTTTGCCGTACAGCATAAAAATATCGAGCCTCCTCTTCTCACAATTTCAAGCTCGGTCAAGGCTACTTCTCCACTAGAGTATGGTGGCTTGGTTGCCTCTGACATGGCTGTTGCTGACACGATTCCGACAGTGCTTTCATTTTGTTGCGTCCATCTGAAGTCGGTGTGCCCTCTGCTGGAGATCCTCGTGGTCTCTCTAGTAGCAGCTGTGTGACTCCTGTCCTCATGGCGCACTTTGCAATGTTGTACTCGGCAATCAGTTCAGGACAGCCATGGAGGAGATGACTGAGTCACCTTACGCTAATGGAAGAGCAGTCGTGGCTTCAATGAAGGCGTTCTTCAACGAATATAAATGCTAACGATTAGATAAAAAAATCTAAATCTCATCATTAATCTTCAATAGAGAGTAATATTGTAGTTGGAAGACGTTTAAAAGTGGTGCTGTACATAGCAAATTTGTTAAGCTTTAATTACGAGTGTATCATGTAACAAAAAATTTGAATTTTCAGAAAAGTCTATACACCTTTATGCGTTCTAAAACTCGAAAAAGCTTCAAAATTTTAGGCGCAATTAAGGTCCCTTGGCCCAGTTGGTTAAGGCGTGGTGCTAATAACGCCAAGATCAGCGGTTCGATCCCGCTAGGGACCATATTGTTTTTTTTGGCGTTTGCTTTTGACGCGTGGGTATCACGGCTGAGTGATTTGCACTCATCGGAGCTCACCTACATTCAACTTTACATTCATGCCGGCCAAACGAGGCGGAAGACGAGGGGGTAGACGAGGCGGAGGCCGTGGAGGCCACAATGGCCGCGGCGGCAGAGGGGCTCGCGCTGGTCGAGGAGGACGGGACGGCGGCTTTCTGCGAGGTGGTGGCGAATCATCGGGACCGAGATCGAAGCCGAAACAACGAAATTTCAACAAACGAGGAAGGTATGGTATCCCCGATGATGTACCGATGTTGATGGATTTATCAGAACCGAAACCCAACACGTTTGCTTACTTTGGCCGTCGTCAAGTTCAAGAGGACGCCAAATCGAAAGGTCCTCTACGAAACCGCCCGGTGGAATTCATCAGGGCCAAGGAAGTGTATGACCCTAACAGAGAGTTATTTCATAAGCTCACCAGTGTAGAGCTTGTGGACCCTGATTCTGTGGAGATTCATAACCTTAGTATCGAACCTACCCCAGAACAGGGCCCTACGCCTGACGAGGTCAGTGTCGATGAAGACATTCCCGTCGAGTCTGTTGAAGATGAGTCTGAAGAAGTGGACGAAGAGATGGCAGAAGAGGAAGTGGAAATACTATCCAACGAGGAGTCCGATGAAGAGGATGAAGAATTGGTTGAGGAAGAGAGAGAAATCATCAGCATCGACGAGTCAGAGGAAGAGCACGACAAATTGGTGGAGGGGCATATGGAAATAACAGCCAATGATGATGCTGACACAGAGGAAAGCGAAGGCGAGGCGGAAGTTGAAGAGGAAAAAAACGAGAAAGAAGATGAGGAGGAAGATGAGGACGATGATGACAACAAAGACGACGATGCATTTGATTTAGTTTTTGACAACGAACCCGACATGTATATCGCGACACATATGCCCAAGCGATTTGCTGCTCAACAAGAACTTGGCCCCAATATCGAACACAATCTGACATTAACTATCGGTAAGGTCCAGCTAGATACTAGCTATGACGACGATGGTAACCTCTATGTTGATACTCGTCAGTTGAAGCGCTCGCAACGGGCTCGCGGGATGAAGCTCGATAATCTCAACTTCGAGAAGATGGCACCGAAACATTATAAGTTTGAGACCTCATCCGAAGATGATGATGACGATGACGACGATGACGACTATGACGGTGAAGATGTGGTGAGGTTTGCGGAAGAGATCATCGTTCAAGGAGAGGCAAACTTCAGACCGAAGAAAAAGGCACAGTCATCTACTACCTCGGAAACTGATGCCACCCCAGAGTACGGATTTTTACCTGAGGACTTTGATTTTGATGTGGGACGGGTCTCGATTGATAACGTCCGCTTTGGCATCTCTAATCTGTACCATGTTCGCAACTGTGATCTCTGTGGCGATGACACTACATATGCCTGGGTGGAGGAAGAAGAGCTTCACGAATACCTTGTTGCCAATGGTGTCAAGCCTCATCGTCTCGATGCTTTTATGAAGTACGCTTGTGGCGATCTTTTGTCTCAGGAATATGAAGAGCAACCTAACTATAGTGATGTTTATATTCTGGAGACTCTGGAAGAAGATGATGAGGATGACGATGATGAGGAAGAGGACAGCGATGATGAGGAACAGGAGGGGGAGAATATCGATATGCTATTGGCTCTTGCTGGTTCCAAGCTGTTCCGAGACCAGGACTTTGTTCCCATTGAGGGGTCATCTAAAACTCGAGGCACAGGACGGAAAAAGCAGCTCAACTTGGACGAATATGACATCGATACTGAGTTGATGGAAGCGCTCCAAGAACAGTACCGGGCTCGCCGTGAAGGTAAAAAGCGTCGCAAGGAGCAGCAGCTCGCTGATGCAATCTTGAACCACGATATGCTCATCAAGTACGCCTACTCGATGCACATTAAAGAGATCAAAAGCGAATTCGAAGACTTGCTTCGCGACGACGAGCGCGAAACCATGCTGTTCCCACCCTTAGACCCTCATGGCAACAAAACGATTGTCAAATTGGCGGGACTCTATAACATGAAGTCACTGAGGTGTGGCAAAACGCACCAATACATCAAGGTTTCCAAGGGCAAAAACACCTATACTAGCTACCCCAGCTACGATTTGATTAATCGTGTGCTTCGCCAACGGCCTCGGTTCCCTCGACGTGACGTTAAGGAGCCTCGTGGTCCTGGTAAGGGCGAGGGCAAAGGCGGTAAAGGTCCGCGTGGGGAGGCGGGTCCTGGGCCCCACGTCCGCGAAGGTGATATCGTTGGTGAGCAAGCTCCCGAGATTGGTCAGGAGAACATTGGTCGCCGGCTTTTGGAGAAGTTGGGGTGGAAGTATGGTGAGGGTCTAGGGATGAACAACAAGGGGATCAACCAACCGGTAGTGGCCCGAGTGAAAAAGTCTAAGCTTGGTTTGAAGACGCAATAATATATCTATATGTATCTTTAAATTATTTATAAAAAGCATTAGCATAATGACACACGACACCAACGACCATAGTTATTACCATTTGAATTCTTTGGGGCGAGCGTCATGGATGGCTCGTTGCTCACGTTCAAGGTCTCTGATCACAGCGGGAGGAGGATTAGGTAAACCAGGTAAAGTAGGCGGCGGAGGAAGCATCGCCAGCGATGCTGGGACCGAGGAGCCAGGGGCGCCTCGATTGAGCCAGGCGCCGGTGATTTCGTAGGGCATGTCATTGGGGTTCCAGAGCCCCTGCTCACGAGCTTTCTGCTCATAGTGCTGACAGTAGAGCTTGAGATGGGTACGCCCCGTCAAGTGGTTTTTGCGGACACTGGGTTTGTCATGGGTGAGGTAGGTTCGACAGTAGTCACAGTAGTACTTAGCCATCGCCGCCTAATCTGAGGGTGCGGCGCGATTCACGATATATAAGACACTGAGAGTAGAACAATTTGATCGACACCATATGAAATGAATTATGACGTGTCTTACAGCTAGTGTGACTTCGATAACTAAATACCAATTCCCGAAATTCTCAACCGTCTTAAAGCATTACTTCGTATTTGCCGGAAGAGGTGAGTAGTGGATGCAAATTAACTTAACGTATGAAGAAGTACTCACCCAGCTTAAGCAATAAGTTTCTAGTAGAAGTAGAGAATGGAAGAGTGATGATTTAAGTTACACCTGGTTTGATGCTTTATGAACTGACGCTGACATCATGTGATGACCATGTTTTGATCTCAGCTGGTCAATCCAAGCAACAATCAATTTTTACCACGGGTCACAGATTGCACATAATGCTTCTTATCACCCTTAATTTCACTCTAGAGGCAATCTTTTGTCGTGCTTCTCATTGTTTACTTCGTAGACTCAGTGGTGTGTTGTGGGTGTATTTTCGCACGCACCTCATCACCACTGAACCATGGTTTGGGAACTGGTGGTGTTTGGCGACTGCTATGCCTACATCAAGCACCGAGGCTACGTGCTGGCCGCAGACGTGGCTGCGACCAAGGACGACCTCAAGCAATTGCTCACCACTCCCCCCAGGCTGGAGCAGAGCCGGGCCAAGGTGAACAAAGTCAACCAACAAGTGGACATCCACGGCATCAAAGTGACGCTAAATCAGCCGTTTATCGACGTCATCTCGAAAATGCTGGGAGAATTGGATATGGACGAGGTGGAAACGGCGGCGTTGCTCATCGTGGCCCAGGATCAGGCCCAGGCTCGCGGTGTCAGCTTACTGGAGGCAGGGTTCATGGTGTTCTATGAGCGGTACCAATATATCCTCGAGATTGTCACCTACCTTATCTCCCGGAAACAACTTGACCTTCTCGATGTTCAGGCCTCCCAGGTATGGACTAACGTCTTTGCCAGTTTCACCAAGATATACGCGTTGATCTCGCTGCTTAACGCCGCCATCGACAAGCAAAAAGTCACCCTGGACATTAACGACTTGGAGTTCATTCTGAGTGTGCGCTACTTGCGCCAGCGGTTGTGGCAGTGCCACGAGAAGCTCGCGACGCTTCTGTTTGTGTTGATCGACACTTACCCTGAGCTTGCCACTGAAGCTAACACAAAACAGTTGATTGAATTCATCAAGAAGAATATAACTAATGACGATAGTGCCTTGATCCATTTCGTGCCGGTGGTACTCGCGATGGTTACTCGTTGTTTTGACCACGACGCTAACGTCGAAGCTATCCACAAGTACGTGGCTGATACCTTACAAGCTGACCATAAACGCACCGCCGATGCTGATAATAATCTTGACTTGGCCAAGTCTCAGCTTGCCGGTCTAGAGTTAGTGGCCTACACTGTGTTTTTAACCAAATTCATCGGGTGGTGTAAAGTGCAGGGGCTGCGGACACAGAAATACAATTTCAGAAACGATATTCTTCAGTACATTGAATGGCTCATCAGTTATGGAGTCATGGAGGCGTTACTAAGCTTTGGTGCCGAAACTGCCGTCACCACCGAGATTGGAGCTACCCCATATACCGCTTACGACTTCCGCGCTCTTTTACAAAGACAATACCCTCGTCTCCGGCCGGCGAAGTTTGAATACCCTGCAAGCGCCGAGCTCTTGTCGGTGGCTAAGCAACACCCGGCGGAATTACCTAATATCCACTTACTTGTCACAATTGACTACTTGAAAGTGTCACCCGAGTTTTCCGACGATCTTGTGGTGGGGTTTTTCCACGACTTCTTTGTCCTGTTTGTCGGAAATGCTGCGATCGTTCTTACCAGTTTACGCGATAACGAAGAAGACTTCTTATTAGCAAGCAAACAAGAAGCCGAGGACGAGACGGTAGCGCAGATTGCCGCTGCTCACGCTGCTAACGATGAAGCTGCCGCCGCTTTAATCACGAAAGTCACCACCTACGACTTGGACACCATTGCCACTAAGCTGGAACTTGAACGGTTTTACTTAGCGTTTACTTACGTCTACAACGGCAGACCTAAGCTTGCTCAACGTCTCTGGGAAGATGATGTTCACACCGACTTGGCCGGGTTTGTCCTGTGGGGGCTCAACAATAACACGCTGCTGTTGATCAGCGCTACCTTTTGCATGCTTATCGGGCTGTTTGCTCTGGCAGGGGCCCAGGCCGCCGTCAGACTTTGGGATATTTTGGCCGCCAACGCTGGCAACAAGTCAAAAAAAGGTGACTACTCGCATATTCTGATTGATCTGATCGTTGAACTGCTTGAGTACTACGCTACTGCGCTTTATGACTCGTTTGAACACGATGTCCATGAACAGTTGCGGTTGAAGCAAAAGAGACAAGAAGCGATGTTTCTGCGTCCGTCTGGGGGTGATGGCGATAACATTACTCCCGTGGTCATCGAGTACGCTGAAGATGCCGTCGTGTTTATTTCTGGGTTTGTGCTGCTTATCCTGCTGATTGTTGAACATTTGGCGAGTGATGACCACCCGAGGATGAAAGATATCCGCCAAGCGGCCTTTGACCGGTTCCTGCCGGTAGTGATCGAGTTCTTACACTTGGACAATGTGACCCTGACCCTCGCGGCTCTGGCGTCGTCTTCTCGTCAAGGTGCAGGGCTGCTGCTGCTGCTGCTGCGATCACTGGTGCTTCCTCATCTCGTGGTGCTGCCCGAAAATAAAGTGGTCATTGGCAACTTGATGGTGGGCTTGTTGCGCACTTTCGCCCAAGGAGCCAGTGATTTAGAGCTTGTTCACAAGGCTTGGGATATCATGGACCGGTGGATCTACCATTCATTGGCTCCGCGGTTAAAAGCCGCTGAACCTGAGAATAATGGCATCAAGAAACCGGGGCTCCCCACTCGCAATATCATGCTGATCCCTCAAGGGTTTGCTGCCACTATCGGTCTGTTTAGCCAAGCAGTGACGTTTGTGGAAGCAATCACGGTGTTATTGGCACAAAAGCTGACCTACACCCACCGCCTTCAGTTACGCTACCCTGCCGATCTTGGTGCTGGCTATCGGCCGCACAACTATGTTGGTATCTGGCCTTATTTCGAGTTTATCATCACTGAGCTCCTTGTGAAGCTGGCCGACATGGACCCCGAAGACGCCCTCATCTTGCGCCGTCGCATCGTTAAGTTGCTTGACTTGGCGTTGTCGCTGGTCGACTGGCCGTTCCTTACGGAAATCGTCCCGCAAACCGCCACCAAGCAGTTCAAACTTGACGACATTGTCTACTTGCTTGACTGGCCGACGTTCGTCAAGTCTCACCACGGGGTGGCGGCGATTGCCACTATGTTCAATGGCGATGCATTTAGCGCATTAGCTCAAGTGGTTACTGGCGGTAAAGTGGAAAGAGCAGTAGCAGTGTTGCGTCAATTGTTACACTTACAATCACTGTTCCTCCACCATTTGGCACCCGTGTTGACGCTGACCCCGAAGCACGCTACCCTCAACATCTATTTCCCTCCTGGAGTGGGCACGACGTCGACGCTGTTTGATGAGATGCTCTTATTCAATTTACCCACGGTGGTGACGATTGCATTGGATGTGGGCTCTGCTGACCCCACCGTGGCGGAAGCGGCAATCGACACATTGGCTCATATTGCTCAATCATCGCAATTCCTCCAGCAAGGGCTGCTCGCGGTGTCGTACCCTCCCTTGCTTCACAGCAACCGTTTACTCACTACGTTTGTTAGTGTTGATGAGAGTGACCGCATTATTGCTCAGTTTATCGCTCAATTTTGTGACGTCACGGGAACTGTGGGTGGTGCTGACGACGACAAATTAAGATTTAAAATCCTCAAGTTTTTGCTTGAGAACTTACGCCGGGTTAAGGGCCCGACGGTGGCCCACTTCCTTCTTGGTTACTCATTTGGCGGTGGCCATCCCCAGGCCCCTGTGGCTAGTGCGGGAGCTCCCAACACGTTACTCAAATGTCTTGTTGAGTACCTCCGCTTCAACGTGTTATTGCTTGCTGAGGTGGACTTAGCTCGCCATAATGCCCGCGTGGTGGACCACCTGCCCGCTCAGTACGCGCTGATGTGCCTTGAAATTATCGTCCATCTCGCTCAATCGCCTCAATTTGGCCGGCAAACGCTTGCTTACATTCGCGCTATTGACTCTGAGCTTCTCAAAGTGTTGGTGGCTGATCAGTTACGCGTGGATTCCACTACTCTGTGGAGTGGCATCGTGTTTGATGGTAATATGGACATTGACCACATCAACCGTTTTGTTGACAATGACCCCACGGCAGCAGCATTTGACCAGTTCATTGCCTTCCGCACTTGGGTCGTCAAGTTCTTTGCCCTTGAGTATGCTGCAGCGCCTCTCGCTGTGATCAGAGAGTGCTATTTGGAATTGGCGCTTAACTACCACACCCAGTTCCTCAACGGCCTGCCGAAAGTGTTGGGATTCTTGGACATCTTGAACTTTGGTTTCGTTAATTTCGATGCGTTTGCTATTGAAAACTTAGCGTCAAGCTACCACTTGGGTTCGATACTGACTCAGATCGGCTACGATGAGATGGGTACAATTGACATGCAAGTGGTGCGCGATTTCATCGAAGTGGAAAACCTCGCCAAGGTTCCTGCTACCACCACTTTGCCAGCCACGGGCAACACCACTTATAAATCATTGTTGCCTCCAGCTCTGAGCTCATCGACGACGAGCTCTCATTCATTTATCGATCGTTACTCACGTCCGTTCAGTTCTACCTCAATGGTGGACAAGTTTGTTGATGCTAGTCTGTCAATGGCGCTCCGTCTGTCAACGGCATTGGTCCCGTCAGCACCGCCAGCTAACGATACCGTGGCTCCTCTTCCTCCTACTGAACAACAGTTGCTGTTGGTACCGCTTCTTCGTCGCGCCTACATTATGAGAACTACTCGTACCGCCCAATTGGAGTGCTTGCGGGGTTGGTGCCGTCTTATCGATGCCCTCATCGAAGGTAACACCACCGATGCTGCCACTGGCCACGCTCGTGCTGATGCTGGTGAACTCATATTGGAGGTATTCCAGGCGATCTTACCGAAGATCAACGACTACTTGGATTCGGATGTGGTCTTCTCTGAAGAGCTCATCTCGCTTGCCGTACTTCTCTTTGACAAGTATGACCAGTACGTGGTGTCGCTGACTGAAGGTGAATCGCAACTGTTGGCGGTTAGCCGGTTGATGCCATTGTTCAAGAGTGGCGTGGTGGGGTTGTTGAACCTGAATTCTACTCCAACCTTACGCCTGGACTTGTACGTGTTGCTGACCAAGTTCTTACACAGAGTGTTTGGTGTCGCCGAGTTGGCTAAAGAGACCCGCAAAGTGGTGGCTGCTGTCGACAAACGGATGGTGGCCATCGTCGCTAATGATGCCATTTACCTGGAAGGTCCCCTGAGAATCACGCTGATTCTCTTGCTTGAGGCTCTCGTCCACCTCTCTCCTGAAGAGATCGTATCGGCGTTGGAACACAATAATCTGCTCAATCTTTTGGTGATGCTGATTAAGCGCACTGACGATATGATTGAAATGTGTCGCCAAGGTAAAGGTGGGGTGCTGATTCAGACGCTTGTGGTGGAGCTTGTGGCATTTAAAGCCACCATCTACTTGCTTGTGAGAGTGGCTCAGCATAAGCACGGTGCGCTTTGTCTTATCCAACTGGAGTTGTACCTGGTGCTCATGCAACTGCACTGGCTCAAGATTGACCCTGATCTTGGGGTGGGACTTGTCATTGAAAAACAACCTGACCACGAGGATGTGCGACTTCAACTTGTTCTTGATACGCCGGTGGGTCTCAGTGACCTTGTTGGCAGAGGCAAAAACCCTAAGGCAGCTGTGGTCCCGCAGCTGTTGCTGTTCCTCGAGTTCTTGGTGCCGTTGTTCCAATTGATTGCCACCGTTAACGTGCTGAGTGGACCAAACTACAAGCCCAGCTTCAACCTGACACGCGACTTGTTGAAACAATGTCGCCCGTTGGTGGTTGGGGTAATGAAACGCCAGCTTATTTTGGAAGAAGACGGTAAGCTGGTGCCAGAATTGGATGAGTTGGCGAAGATCTTTACGTTATTGGACTCGCTCACTCACCCTCAAAAGTAATGCAACAAGTGTATAATAGTATAAGAGAATAAGAGTTAGTGTAGACCATGAATAATGGCAGCTGCTATTGAGCGATCTTGTGGGATCTAATGATACGTAGTAGCCAATCATTGACCGATGATCAATGTAGGCTAGTTTAGTTGTTCAACGTTGATTCACTCCATTGTTATGCAAGACATTAATGGATCAATGTTGCGACTGATGGATGGGCTGAGAGCAACCGTTCACGGCTATAACCCTACGTGGCTACTCCCACGTCACTCCCACGTGATATACCATGATGTTACTAGGCATCAACGTTATAGCAACCTAATAACGAACGCGATCGGAGAGAATATGACGCGCATGATGGTATTACCGAGTAGGTTAAATTACCCACAGCCTTTTCGTGGGCTCGTGTATCCAAAGGAGTGAATAAGTGGTTCGACCTTCCCAGCGATAGCTCATGGGGAATGACGAACGCTTCCGACTAAAAGGGTTTTTCGCGGACGGCGCTAGTCAGTGTGGCAGGTGGTGGTGTATCGTCACGGTGTTTACCGTTTCGGGAGCGCGTGCTAAACCCGAACAAATCGCACCGAGACAAGTGAGGGATGGAAGGCAAGAAGTGCGACGAGTCACAGAGAATGTGTCATGCGCGAGGGTATATGGGCTAACAGAGGTGATAAGAACCGACTAAACGCTCATGACTTGACATTGTGTAGCTTAGTAGCCGTAATTAGCCCATATCCATCGCCTCTACTTTATCCCTAGGTGGCCCCGTGCTTCAAAGTGAATTGACGCGTTTCGCGCCTTGCAGGCCGCCTACGTGGTCGCGCAGATATTTTTCACACAATACGACGAGATGTCGGGGTCGAATATATGTAAGGAAAAATCACCGCCGTAAGTGAGCTATTGTTTGCGGCTTTCCTCAGTCTTTCGAGCTTCCCTTCCGTTCGCTACCTTCCACTCGTTTACGTCCCGCCTTCCACGCCAACCCCAAGGTGCTGTGCCATATATCCCCGTCCTGAATCCCCCCTCCTTTTCTCTTTTCTAACCAGTGACGATGATGACCAGCACGGTGTTCCTCATGGCGGCGGTGGCGATGGCCGCGCCCGTCGACACCAATGCCATCCCCAACACCAGCGACAATCCCTTTGTGCGCCACTGGCACCTGCCCCTGGGCACGGTGTTCATTATCGTCGGCGCCATCTTAGGTGCCATGATCGTGGCGTTTGTCGCCTACCACCTCGCGACCTGTCTCTACTACAACCGCAAAGCACGCCACGAACACGAGACGTTTGCCGGCCACTTCACCGACCTGGACCAGCTGTCCATCGATCTCTCGCTGGACGGCGACTACGCCGCGTCGCTGGCCGGCCGGCTGTACCGTGATCTGATGCTTAAGCGGGGGCTGATGTATGTCAGTCCTACTCTCTCTCTCAAACTCAAGGGCCTGGAGTCAGTGCTCGATTTGACCGGGCTGACCATTATCGAATCAGCCACCAACACGGGGCTGAACGTCGACCAGCTGACGATGGGTGGCTATACCCCCACTCTCAATCGACTGGTGCCTGACTTCTCTGCGAGTCAATTTGGCTCGCAAAGCGATACTGGTCGCCCGGCGCTGTTGTTCAGCGTCAACCACATGGCCTACCAGGGCGAAGTGCTGGCGCTCTACGGCAACAACAGCAACTACTTCAACAACATGCTTAAACCTGGGCGCCGAGAGTCCACGGGTGCCTCACAACGACTCAGTGTCGACTGGCTGGCGATGCCCGAACCTCCTAAGCCCAGCGACCAGCTGACGCTGCTGCTGCAGCCGGCCGCGGTGAGCCGACGCCACAGTCAAGTGTTGGAAGACCTTTTGGCTGGCACGAGCTCGCGACCGCCGTCGATGGTGTTAGAAGACCTTTTGACTCGCATGGCTGAAGACGACACTGCCGACAGTGCTCCTCGATAAGTTTTACCGTCTGATAATTTTTTGCATTCTCCGTGGACACCACTGGAGCTTACGCCCCTCATAATTTACGATCTCTGCATTTGAAAAGTCCGCATGTAGTAGCTATCTCATCCCTTGGGGCCCCACTAGCATTGAATTGCCTCGCAGGCACTATTTACCTTCGTTTGCAGCCAGACGCGTCATCACTAGGCGCGTGTCACCATTTTCTTTTTTTGGCGCTGCGCGCGCAGTCAATTTCACCTCCGCGTGTGGCCGCCAATGTCCAGTGCCCTGAGCGAGGCGACAGGTGCCTGATTTGACTAAGCGGGCAGTAGCCTAACCCAACGTGGGGCCCGTTTAAGGTATCGGGCAGCAGACAGTGATCGTGATCAATAAATATTAGGTTCGCGTCAGGATCTCGCAGTGATCAAGGCTTACTGATTATATAGAGTAGGGAAGGCATAATTGTCACGTTAACAATGGTGCTCGTCTCCTATCAGAGGGGCTTGGCAAGACCCAACTTGGTCAGTAATTACTGGCCTTGACTTGGGCTTTTAATTACTGGCCTTGACTTGGGCTTTTAATTACTGGCGTTGGCTTGGCTGTCTCGAAATTACCATGACTTGGCTCTGGCCTGGCTCGCACAGCTTTTTTTTTCTGCTCGCTACCTCACACCTAACGATTTTTGGCGGTAATTCGAGGAATAGAGATAAAAAAGAGTGAGTGGGTGCGAACTACGGGACCATGCACGGAACGCTGTCTTCGAACCAAACGCCACCGTACCCCACACTTACCGCCTCGGTCCCCCGGATTCCACCACCACCATCAACAACGCTACTACTAACTTGAACATTTTGTGAGAAGGTGTTTGACGCTACCAACTCCGACTCGGTGACATACCCCCCGACGTTGCTCGAGCCACGTGATCGAGCCCAATCGCAACGGCGATCTCGCTATAGGGCGAGCCACGACGAATTCGCGGAAATACTATTCCCTCACCGCTTTAACAATTCCCAATATGTTTGCCGCCAGAGCCACTTTGATCAGACTGTTCCGAACCAGTGCCCGCACCCTTGCCAAGGGCGACAAGTCGACGATTGACCTGTTCCGCCTCCCGTCGCAGACGTCGATCAACGACTGGGAGTTCCGCTACGACTTCATGCCCAAGGTCGCCACCCCGAAGACCCCCGCCGTTACCGAAGAAGCGGTGAAGTCGCAAATTGCTGAAGACAAAGTGAAACAAGTCGAGCGCGAGTTGTTTGCCCAGGAATCCAACCAGTCGGCGGTGTCGGAAGGGTCCCACGCCAAGGTGTTGCACGGGGGTGAACACGTCGAACACACCCCCATTGACGATGTTGCTACTACTGAAGCCTCCACTCCCGTCGACGTGTCGCGTCCTCAAGCGACTGACCTGGCGTCGGTGAAACCCGTCAACCAGGAGAAGTACGTCCACGCTCTGACCAACCCCGACTTGAACAAGCCGGAAGTGGTCAACTTGGGCGCCGACAACGAGGTCGACCACAAGACGCAACCGATCAGCCAGGCGGAAGTTGTCGACGATATCGAACACGACAACTTGAAGCACGCGGGCCAGGAACAACCGAAGAACCAGGGCGGTAGCAAAGTGCCGATCGGGGTGATTGCCGGCGTCGCCATCGGCACCGCTGGCTACTACTTCATGGCCCAACCCAAGGACAAACCGCTGCAACCTAAGCAGTAAGTGATATAGATACGGCAAATAACGAATACACAAATTAGGAAACTGTAACAATATGGGAGGATGGATGATGGATGAGATACTTCTGCTACAGTCGTTTTGTTTCAGATACATTATATGCTATTTACATGCTGGGTCACGAGGTTTAGGCGGCGTAGTGTCTGGCAGCGTCTTGGCACGCCTTCAACTGTTGCAAGTAGTAGTCGCACACTTGCATGTTGCCGTCGTTGTCTTCGAGACACTTGGTGAACATTCTCGCGTCGGCGTCGCAAGCTCTGGCTTGCATGTTTTGCTGTTGCTGCGCCACGGGGGCCACCTGTTGTTCAACGGGTTGGGCGGGGGCCAGCGAGCCACCACCGAACATACCGGTGATACCGGCACCCAAGGTGTGACCGATGGTCGAACCGACGGCGACACCAGCGGCGGTCAGCGCCATCTGGCCGAACAAACCGGGACCTTGCG